GGAGGTGACATTTCGTGGCAGGCGCAGTACTTTGTGCGCATTAGACGTGTGGATGCGGAAAGATTCGTGGCAGGCGCAGGGAATCGTGAGGTCGTGAGTTGTGGTAGAGGTGAATGTCGCTGTCACATTGAGATTGGCGTGTGAGGGGGTATTGTTTGGAGGGGCTGGACTCGCGAAACTGCTTGGCAGGGCTGCGTGATGTGTGTGCTCCGATGGGTGTTTCCGCTTGACTTTTGGAGGAAGTCTCGTACGAAATCCTCGTTTTGCAGACTTTGACATGTGAGTTTTGGAGGAAGTCTCAACCGAAACGCTCGTTTTGGAGACTTGACACGTGACTTTTGGAGGAAGTCTCGTACGAAACACTCGTTTTGGAGACTTGACGTGTGACTTTTGGAGGAAGTCTCGTACGAAGCGCTCGTTTTGGAGACTTAACGCGTGACTTTTGGAGAAAGTCTCGAACGAAACGCTCGTCTTGTGCAGCCTCGAAGCGTGACTTTTGGAGGACGTCTCGTACGAAACGCTCGCAGGACTGCTTCTAGTGTGCCACAAGAGTGTCCCACAAGAGTGTCCTACAAGAGTGTCCCACAAGAGTGGTCCTACAAGAGTGTCCCAGAAGAGTGTCCCACAAGAGTGTCCTATAAGAGTGTCCCACAAGAGTGTCCTACAAGAGTGTCCCATAAGAGTTTCCTACAAGAGTGTCCCACAAGAGTGTCCCACAAGAGTGTCCCACAAGAGTGTCCCACAAGAGTGTCCCACAAGAGTGTCCCACAAGAGCGTCCCGCAAGAGTGTCCTACAAGTGTGTCCTACAAGAGTGTCCCACAAGAGTGTCCCACAAGAGTGTCCTATAAGAGTGTCCCACAAGAGTGTCCTACAAGAGTGTCCCACAAGAGTTTCCTACAAGAGTGTCCCACAAGAGTGTCCCACAAGAGTGTCCCACAAGAGTTTCCTACAAGAGTGTCACACCAGAGTGTCCCACAAGAGTGTCCCACAAAATTGTCCCACAAGAGTGTCCTACAAGAATGTCCTACAAGAGTGTCCCACAAGAGTGCCCCACAAGAGTGTCCTGCAAGAGTGTCTCACAAGAGTGTCCCACAAGAATGTCCGACAAGAGTGTCCCATAAGAGTGACCCACAAGAGTGTCCTATAAGAGTGTCCCACAAGAATGTCCGGCAAGAGTGTCCCATAAGAGTGACCCACAAGAGTGTCCTATGAGAGTGTCCCACAAGGAGTGTCCTACAAGAGTGTCGTGTAAGAGTGACCCACAAGAGTGTCCGGGAAGCGTGTCCTACAAGAGTGTCTACAAGAGTGTCCCGCAAGAGAGCCCCACAAGAGTGTCCTGCAAGTAACCCACAAGAGTGTCCTACAAGAGTGTCCCACAAGGAGTGTCCCGCAAGAGTGTCCTACAAGAGTGTCCCACAAGAGTGTCCCACAAGAGTGCCCCGCAACAGTGTCCCACAAGAGTGTCCTGCAAGTGACCCACAGAGTGTCCCACAAGAGTGTCCCAGAAGAGTGTCCCACAAGAGCGTCCTACAAGAGTGTCCCACAAGAGTGTCCTACAAGAGTGTCCCACAAGAGTTTCCTACAAGAGTGTCCCACAAGAGTGCCCCACAAGAGTGTCCTACAAGAGTGTCCCGCAAGAGTGTCCCACAAGAGTGTCCCATAAGAGCGTCCCACAAGAGTGTCTCACAAGAGTGTCTCACAAGAGTGTCCCTTAAGAGTGCCCTACAAGAGTGTCCTACAAGAGTGTCGTGTAAGAGTGACCCACAAGGGTGTCCTACAAGAGTGTCTCACAAGAGAGTGTCCCATAAGAGTGCCCGACAAGAGTGTCCTACAAGAGTGTCCCATGAGAGTGTCCTACAAGAGTGTCCCACAAGAGTGTCCTACAAGAGTGCCTTTCAGGAGTGTCCCACAAGAGTGTCCTGTAAGAGTGTTCTACAAGAGTGTCCTACAAGAGTGACCCACAAGAGTATCCTACAAGAGTGTCCCAGAAGAGTGTCCCACAAGAGTGTCCTACAAGAGTGTCATTTGGACATATGTAGCTTTTCGAACGTGTTTGCATTCGGGTTCGTGGGCTCCATCTTGTTTCTTCTCCTTCTTCTTCAAGGAGCGCCCTCGCTCCCGGTCCATCACACCCTCCTTGGCCGAAGGTGCACCAATGCCTGCTTCTCGGGCACGAAGGTCCTTCAGGTCGTCCTCCACGGTCTCGACAGTCTCTAAATTGTCGACCCAGCCTTCTTCCGCATCCTTGCTCCTCGCCTGGCGAACCATCTTGCAATGTACCAAGTCTTCCGAGACTCTGTCGCCAGAGCACTCTGCTCCGCACCTGTGCAGACGAAGGATGTTCTTGGTCTTGTCGCTGGCGTGTCGGAGGAGGTTCTCGTTGCTGGTCCCTGTTGCTTTGATCAATGCATGAACGTCCTCGCCCGCAATCTCGAGCCTGTCGATCGTTCCGGCAACTTGGCAGGGGGCTGTGAAATACGTCCCCCCCTCGACCTAGTAACTCCAACGGCACGCTTCTCATCGGCAACTCCTCTCCCGACATCCATTGCTCCCGCGGACCAGGAGCGGCGACGGGAGGTGGAGCCAACGCCGGCCTCCTCAGGGCACCCCTGCCCCGTACAACTGCCATGGCTGCCTTTGGTTTGGCCAGGGCCTTCACTCGGCCTTTGGCCTTTGGTTTTGCTTTGGGCGGCATTGCTCTGGCTAGCGGCGCCAGTAATAGCCTCGTTCACGATGTTTGACTCCCTTGGTGCCCCGTGGGCGGCGATAGATGGGTGGAGATGGTTTTCTCCGCGGGCTCCTACGCTGGCCCCTGGAACTGGATCCTCGTAAGTGAGGTGGTGGATGATCAGGTTCAACTGGTCCCCTCCTCTCGGGTGCTGGGGGTGGCAACGGCAACCTTGCAAGGTGTGCTGCAACACTTCCCTTTGGAATTGGTGAAAGACCGAGGAAAGCTGGGTTGGTGTCAACAAGTCCTGACCAGTCTGCTTCTCCTGAAGCTTGCTTGTCTTCGGTGGGCTCGTCGGCGACCTTTTCCTCTTCTGTCTTCCCTTTGCCCTCGCGAACTCTCTTCTTCCGCTTCTTGTCTCCTCCGGAGCTCCCGGCGGCTGTCTTGTGCTTGCGTTTCTTCTTCTTCTTTTTGACTTCTTCCTTTTCAGCCACAGCCTTCTCCTCACCAACTGCCTCCTTAGCTGTAGTTGATGCCTTCTTTGCACCGTCGTCCTGTCCGTCAACCACGATCTCCGCAACCGACTCCTTCGCCTCCTCTGCCTCGTTCTCAACCTTCACGCCACTGTCCGTAGGAGCGGGCCTGGCTCCCGAATCAGGTTCAACGGGTCGCAACGCAGGCAAAGGCTCCAAGGTGCTGTATTGCCGTGGCTCGTCAGGCACGCCAGGTGGATTCGCTGCCCTCCGCTCTGCAGCAAGGATGGGAGCCGCTTCCTCAGCCAGATCCAAGAGTCCACCAGCGGCCTCCCTCAACACGCGGACTGCCTCTGCCTCTTGGGACCTGAGGATCAGTCCTCCTTCGACAACCTCCCGGAGCCTCTGGATCGTGCGACACGGAAGACAAAAGGGGCCTGTCTTCGCAAACAGGCCGCAGCGAGTGCAAGTCATGCACCGAGCTTGAACCACAACACTACGGAACAGCCGAAATGAGATGCATCTTAACTTACGGGGGCGAAAGTACATATAGAAATATAGATATAGGCTGCCTCTCCTTCAGGAAGAATAGTTTTTCCCCGTTACATAAACGTTTGTGTTTTCTGGAGCTCTTCTCTCTTTGCAATGAACATCAATGAACACCTACCCCAAATCTCCCACTCAGTGTCCCTACCGCCAGGAAGATGTTACAGGACCTAAGTGGGCGGGGTCCGTGAATCAGCGGAAGGGTCCTACTGGCTTGGATATGGCCCCTAAGGTGTGGGGAACCATCCCAGACACCCGTAATAGCTTGGATCCATTAGGTCTGATAACAGCTTGGCAGCCTTGATCTCCTCCGAGTGCCATGATCCATAGTCAAATACTGCAATGTCAATTAGGATGGTGAGTGAAACGTGTTTCAACATCTTTGGTTGGCTGTATCCTCAAAACATCAGTTCAAAATCCAACCGCGATGGAACGCAAAGCCGTCTTGGGCCCCCCTCTACGGAATGAGACTGCAAGGACACATAGCGTTTTGGTGGAAGTCTTGAAGCCCCCATGCTATGCTGCATAGACCTTCTGGCACAGTGCCAAATCGAACATGTTGTTCTCCCTCTATGTTGATATTGATCCCCATTGCCGCACCAAAAAGACCACGGGCGGACTGACTCGACGGAACCGCCGAGAAACCGTTGCATGGCATCGGACACTTGCGAGGCCTCAAAAGAAGCCTCGACGTTTCATCGATTCGGTCGGGTTGGAGTCACTGGTGTCTGGTTGTGGAAAGAAGTAGTCGTCGAGGTTGGGTTTCAAACCGGCAAGCTACTGAATTCTGAATTACTGAATAATACTGAATAGATCTGAATAGCATGGAGTTTGGCACACACCAAAACTCCTGGATCTTCACGTGTTTCAAGGGCCCATGCTATGTCACGACAGCTGTTGTTTCTGATGTGTCCAAATATTACATTGATGGTGCACGTGGAGAACTCATGACTCGCGAGCTATCCATTGAAGTTACATGATCATTTTGGTGTGAGTCACCTGCCATGCTTTACCAACAAAGATCACGATTCTGGTGATTTGATGCCCCGTGCTCGGGTGTCAGCTTCTACCCCTCCTCTGGAAGTATATAGAAGATAAGAAGAACAGCAAAGGTCACGTCTTCATGCAACCCCAAGCTTGCAGCACAACATACATACTATATATAATATATATATTAATATATTAATTAGTATATAATTATGTATTTTATATAATATGTTGCGAATGTTCATGTAGGTCAGTATGAAAATGATCTCATGTATACCATAGCGGCCATCGACCCATTGGGTATCGGGGTCGGGCTGCCCTTTTTGCTGCAACCCTCCGCAGAAGCGCCAATCACCGCAGAAGCAAGGCCATTGCACCTTAGAGCTCGCAGTGGCTGGGAATCGATTGGGTGTTGATCCTCGGATTACCTCATGCTAAACCAGGGAGAATGTGGGTCAATACCCCAAAAACCAAAGCAGGTTGAAATCCCCAGTAGTCCGTCCTGCTGTGTGTTCTGGGTGGTCAACCAGTCCCGGGTTGTGACACACCCATGGATCATGGCATTGGAGATCCCAGGTCTCTTACGACAAACTCATTCTTCCTAGGCACCGATTGGCAGCTCGCTGGTCTCAGCACCTGCCAACAAGTGCAAGGCCACGCACCAGCATCGGGCGCAAGCACTGATGGCAGTTTTGACATTCACCACGCTGGTTTCTATACCTGGAGACCAGGGAAAGTGATGGGACGACGCAAGAGATAAAGAACCACGACTCATTCACTCAATCCAAAAGCCTTAAACATCCCAATCCGACGGTGTTCACTCAGAGTCTTCGGCGTGTTCAACATGAGCCATGAACGACAGTGAATAAGTTTGTCCTTGGCATGCTAATTTTCAAGAGCAAAGCTCCTTGGTTTTATCAGACCAATTCTGCCACTCTGTTGAGCATACACCCGTCTGTCCTTGGGCAACAGATTCATGCAAAAGGCCCGCTGCATCTTGCCACTCGCCACAGCTTCCATATACGCATATAGCTGTGTCAAAGGCGATGATGCTAGCTCGAATTTGAAGTTCCTTGGATACTCGGTTGCCCTCCCTTCAAAAAAGAACGTTGGCCAAACAGCGAAAGGCAACGATAATTTCCACGTCCTCTATGGGTCTTCGAGGTGGTTCAACCGAAAGGAATACTGGTTCAAAAAGGACGTACTGATTTCATGGACCTCACGGACCCTTAATACACCACTCACCTAAGTGAGAAACTCATACTATGACTATGACATGAAAATGGAAACACTGGTACAGGATGGTACAGGAGTCCGAAACTTCAAACTGTGACAAGTAGGAAAACATTTTTCTGAAACAAGTAGTAAACTAACTGCTCCGCCTTGTTGAAGAATACCGCAAGATATGTTGTTGTATGTTGCTGTTGTCTTTGCTTTCTTGTCCGAACCATTGCTCATCATGGCCTTTCCATGTCAAGCATCAAAGACTGTGGCAAGTAGGTACAAAGCATGCTTCCAGTGGAAGCCTGGGTGTCTGAACTCTGCATGACAATTGTGCAAGCCACGCATGAGCCACGCATAAAGCCAAGGTTTGAGATGTCAAGACAATATTGACAGGAAGGACTTGGGACATATTGACATATTACTATATTACATAGTGTTTTCTTTTCGTTCGTTTTGAGGTTCAGGGCCGCAAGTAGGCAAAATGTGCTTAAAGTTTGCCCAAGTGCGGGGCAGCCGTGCAGCTCATTTCTTCAGCTTCCAGCCTTAAAACCCCTTGTTGTGTGAGTATGATGCCAAGCTATGCAGTTCCCGCATGCACTGATGGCTGCGCTGTAAATCGCTGCAACGTCAGCGGTGCTGTGAACGGCAGTGCAGCTGATTGAGCCTTCGAACACTGGGACCCACGGACGGGTCGTTGGAAGGAGTGGACCACGGACCTACCAAGTGATCCAAAGTGACTCAGAATGACTAGATCACTGGAAGGTCTTGTTTGAGAAACACAATCAAAAGTTCCAAAGGGCTTGTGTTTTATCCCATCCTGTAACTGCATCATGGACACCAAAGGAACGAAATGTGTGCAGAAGATTGTAGAATAGTCTAGAGCTTTGCTGAGGGACCTAATTCTTCTCAACTTGGGTCATCGTTTCTTTGTTCTTCCTTCTACTAGTCTAGGCATGACCCGGCTTCGACTTCCCAAGGTTCAAAACACCAAAAAACGGAAGGCCAAGGGCTCCTGGGCGGCCAAGGGCGACTCCTGCCAGCCTCGGAGTGCTCCGTGGACCGAGTCGTCGGACCGAGTTGCCGAATCCATGAGTTGGGTTGGACGTCCTTGGGTTCCCACAGCCTAAACCCACCACTTCCCGACGTTCGGTATGTAACATTGGGAATTAACACTTCAAAGCATCCGACAAAAACAACGGTCCAAGCATGATCTCTTCTGAAGTTTGGCAAAAATGGATACATGGCCCCAATGCCGCGTTGAAGGTGAATGAATGCTCGCGCGCATCCCTTTCTCAAGCCAGGGCCACATCCTCGGCATCCCTAGGGTAATGAGGAATCCCATATGATTTGTTGCTTAATCCTCCTGCCCAAAAGCCTCTCAGCAGCCTAGGAACTCCTGGTGATCGGACTTGTCCATGTCTCAATCTTGAGAATCCCAAACACAAGCCAGCCATTGCGCGTAAAGGCTAATTGGGTCTACATGTATGGGAGGCTTCGGGGGGGTTGCAGGTTCATTGGTGGAATGTGTCTTGTATTCCTAAAAAACAACAACATCACCAAATGAGAAGTTCTAATTACTCGTGAAGATTGACACGGAACAGGCTTTGAAAACAGTCCCTTAACTTGAAAGCCATATATAGAAGGTTAGTAGATTAGGACATGTTTCCTCTGCAAACCAGTGGTGTTCACGTTCCATCTGAATGTTCCAGGCTGCATGTTTGTTGCTCATTAACTGACACCTACACAGTCCTGATCGCCATATGGCTTTCTTGTGCTAGGCTTTAGTTAAAGGAACAACCTTGAAATGTGGATGCTTTCTGATGCCCTTTTGGACCCTCAAGCTTTGATGCAGCTGGAGCAGCGGGGATCAGTGATGACAGGACCAGTCTGTTCGTCCAAGACCCCGCAAAAACCACTGATGTTGTCCAACTAAGCCACGTCCATCTCTTTGCCATAGGATTATATATTTGATTTGTCCGTGTTTCCATACTACGTTTACTCAAATCCCCTATATGATATCTGTCTATATGATTTAGTTGTTGGAGCGGCACCAGTCTCCGGCACTCGAAGACTCATGACTCACTCGATGACTCCGGCACTCGGAGCTCATGAAAGTGGCCTCCAAGTCGGAGCTCAAAGAGCACGCTGGGATCTTCTGGGCCATGTGGAACTCGAAGACATCGTTGTGTCGCCTCCGGCCATGTGTCGGCTCCGGGGCAAGCTTCAAGAAAGGGCGGATCAAACCCATTCAAATGCAGTGTGGGTATAAACAAGTAAAAAATTGAAGGTATCCATGCATGTGTGTGTGTGTTTAATTTACTTCAGCAGCTTGTGATGCTGAGTTGCCTCGCTGCATGTGGCCAAAACAGGAATACCGACTGAGCAATGGAAGGGTTGCATGGATGACTTGTCTCCACTTAGTCCATGCCCTCGACAACGGGGTCTGCAACAAGGTCTGCAACAAGCTCTTCGTCAACAGGTGTGTCAACTAATCGAGCAAAAAGGAAATGAACAGAATATTCAGAATATCCGATTGTTTTGGATCTCTCCCCATTTTTTGAACACATCCCTGCTGCAGCTGCACTTTTCGCCGGCTGTACTGCCCACTATTTCTCAAGAGCTGAAGCTGGAGCAGCTTGAGCCTCTGTGCTGTTCCTGAAAGCAGCAAATATGCTGGGCACAAACGAATTGAAGAATTTTTGCGAGCAGTCTAGCATTGGTGTGTCCAAAAGCAATCGTAAACAATCAACATCTGTAACTACCATCAGTTTGACTGAAGGGTAATAGAAAGGTAGAAGACTGCCATTCAAAGACTGCTAGCTGTTTTGAGCCCTCGCCGTGGCTGTTCCCGGACTTGGGCCTAACGAAATGAAATGTGTGAATTATCTCTGCGGTGCAGGCTGAGCTTCATCATGCTGTCATCTCTGAAGAGCCGCTTGAACCATGATCGAATCCATTTTGGGGGGAGATCCTTATATAAGGGACCAACCTGGCAAGTATAAGTATAGTATAGGTGCTCACCGAAGCCTATCTCACGGACGAAGTCCTAGAAGTCTCCCAGGGATCAGTTTGTTGCTGTGATTGGTTTGCCTCTGCAGGCAATGTCAGCTGAAGTCATCTTTTCAATAGTATATACTGGGAGGCACTGCATGTTTTGAATAAGTGGAACGGGAGAAAAGGCCTCCGTTTTGAAGGTACAGTAGCTGGTTAAGCCACAGAGATGTTTGTTTTGCCTCCGTTTTGAAGGTACAGTAGCTGGTTAAGCCACAGAGATGTTTGTTTTGTTATGCTACAGTAATTCGATGAAATGGCCATAGAAAGCCTGAGTATAACTTCCAATCCCATCAATGACATGCATCCGCTGCAGCATCCGCTGTACCGGTCAGTCTGCTGTGTTCGGTTGGGCTTGTGCCACTCTTGGGCACAAGCGAAAAATGCAGAGAACCCAGAAGATCCTTCAGGCCTGGAGCTTCCCTACAGTACATAGCAACACGCACCTCTGTGGGTTTCGGGGGGTACACCAGCAACAAGGCTCGTTTCTTGGTTTTACCTCCTCTTTGCTGGATTCTTCTTGCAGGGAGCAAAAGGCACATATTTGGAACAACTGAGATCTTTAACTAACAAAGTTGGATCGCATCAGTCAGGAGCTCAAATCACTTTGATGCAGGAGAAAGCCACACCAATAAGGCCCCCCAGCTGAATGGCTATCCATGTGATTTGCGAGACGATGGGGCATGGAATCCCTGAGCTCTGCAAGGCAAACATGCAGTTCGATTCTGATCCTTTTCATGCAATTCTTGAGGGGGACATGGAAGGCAGCTAGATGAAAAACCATCTCTGCGATGTGATGGCCTCTAATGCCTAAAGAAACCTCCACGCCAACTTGAGTCAGCCCGGCTCACCCCGCAAACCTCTCGCCTCCAAGTCTCGTAACCCGAGCTAGAACCACACGCTTGCTATGCTGGTCTCGATCATCTCACCCCTTTCGCAAGTCCGGCGTCCACTCTCAAAGGTGCCAGGAACAAGATGGAACAAGGACACAGGAGATATTTTATGGAATGATTCTAAGATTACGTCAAATGTTATTCTACGGTATACATACATACATATATATATATTATTATACTACTATATATACATAAACATCACCAACCCGCCCACCACCGCTGAAGCCGCTCTCTCGGACAGGACCCGCTGTTTGCTGCCCAGGCGCTGTGATCGTGGCCACAGAGGGATTGGGCCTTTTGCGAAAGCAGCATGGCAGCTAAGCCACCGGTGAAGGACATGAGACCATAGGCGACGATGATGCTCCTGCAAACCACACGACGCGAGGTCCAGATGGTGCGGGGCGCGAGGTCAAAACACAACGGGACAAGGACCATTAGAGTCACTGGATGGCCCGAGAGGAGTCAAAGGTCGAAGTTTCACAGCCCATCATTTTTTTGGAACATCGAACGCTAATTGTTATCATCGTTTCCACAACAGAAGAACACATCCAAAAACTGTTAGGAAAAAAATCACATTCAACTCAACACCAAGGATCAAATTGCGTGGATCTTCCGGTAGCAGCCAATGCAGGTGGCCATGGGTATAGCCCAGAATGCATGGTATGAAGAGTAGGCGAATGAGCACCACGAAGACCAAGACTCCCACAGGTGCTGGTCGTCTACACCACTGGCCACTAACAGTGATGCGCCCAAGGAAGTTCGCAACAGTATGCGTCGCCACTAGGACTGTGGCCAAATACCTCTCCCAAAATATGGCAGATTCTGTGCTCTCACCTCGCAGCGGTAGGCCCTTTTTCGAAAAAACGGTCTCTGTCTGTGAAAATGTGTCCATCACTCCCAATGCCGCGAACCGATCACCGGCGGAGCGCCAGCGGGCACGTCGTGTTCGACGGTGCATGACGGGTGCTTGCAGCATCGTCTGTAAGTGCCAGGACACATGGCGGTACGTGCGGAGATAAGGCCAGTAGGAAGGTTGTCAAAGTCAAGCTGAAGACCTACAGGGTAAGAATAGTGGCGGGTTTCCTGTAGCGAACAACTGTGAGTTCAAGGCTGAAAGTTTTACTGACTGTATGTATGCATTTGTGTTTGGATGAGTTTTAGGACAAACTTCGAAACCCCTGGCTTACCTGGGAAGGACTCGCTTCACATGCATGGCCTACACCGTATATGCAGATTCGCTTCGCTACCTCTTGGCTGTTCTATGCTTTGGCATGTTTGAGATTCCTCAATTCCCCAGTTTACAATCTGTTTGTCCCTATTTTTCCAAACTTGCAGGGATCGAACTGGCAAGTTGTTCCAATTAGACACGCCCATCTGCGGCATTGTCAAATCACTGTGGTTGATGGTGGCTAAGCTGGCTATGCTGATTTCAACCTGGGGACATCAACAAAATTGCCACAAGACCCATCAAGGTTCATATGCATGTAATAATACCGTATACTGTATATATATATATATGTATATATGAAATAACGTGCATGTAATAATATATAGGTTCTATACAGATATTATGCATCTGTCATATGTTTGTTCTGTGGGAACAGCTGGAATTCATCACGTTGGCTCAAAGAGAATCGCCTTCCTTTGACTGTGTGAGCTCTGTTGAGGTTCAGGACATAATACAATGCCGTGTGGCCACCCACAACTAAATGGAAACCCGACTCTGTAATTGTTCTAAAATAGAAGCTACTAGGTGGAGGCCATTGCTATTTGGTTGGAGGCCATCGCTACTAGTAACAAGAAAGCTTTCCAGTAACTAGAAGCTACTAGGTGATGTATTGGAATCCTTTCTATTCAGTTGGGCACCGCTTCTCGGCCGCTTTCGCCACAGGAGTCTTGTTGTTGTAAATAAAGCAGGTTGCTCCATTGGTAGACCTGTGATAGGATAAACAGCAAAGTTTGCCTGGGGTGTCCAAATCAGTGAAACAAACGCATCAGACTCCCGCCTGAACAAATCGAACATCTTCCATAACTTGCATAACCCTCTGCCTCTTAATTATCAGGTCAAAGCTTGCTGGTGTTCTCCAAACTGTGACGATAACCTGGACCGAGCATGGACCGAGTCTGCGAAAAGGCGCCTGCCCCACCGCGCACCACTTCACCAACAGAAGACGCTCACGGGAGAAGGAAGGAGCTCGGCCAAGGGTGTTGTCCACCGGGTTACCTGGTTGGATGCCGAAGACTGGCGAAGTGACTCAGAGTCACTGAGTTAGAATTGAATTTTGAACTCAACAAATCTCGGAAACATCCCGAACACATCAAGCTTAGCATTTAGATGCATCAATCAACATGAACAGTGCTTTCACCGTGTTTATGGGAGCTGTTTCGGCGGGCAACAAAGCTATCACCAGCATCATCCAATATCGCCATGTTTGGCCTCCATCCTTTGGTTTGGTGATAACCTTGATAAGTTAGAAACCAAAAAGACCTATAGGCACTCCATAGTACCCATCGACATCTAGATTCCACCATCACTCCACCCCGACCCCTTTAAAAGGGGATCTTGCAGATTCCCAAACATTCCCAAACCGTGGGAGGTCTCCAGAAGTGTCCTGTATCGTTGCAAACCCATGGCCCATGACTCCAAAGTGTACATACATATTCCATATGTTCGGACTGGTTGCTTCAGTTCTCCTCCCACATACTCCCATGTTGCGTAACCAATGGCCTTCTCTCAGCTTTGGTTTCAGGGAGGCGATTGCTGACGTCCAAGTCTAGCCGTCTGCCACGACGGGGCGCGTAGCCGTGGCACGAATGGTACGAATGAAGGCAGATTCGCCTCCTCGGTCATACACTCTAATTCAATAAGGAAGTGGAACACCACCATAAACCACCTGTTTGCGAAGGAACAGTGTCTTTCCAGGTGGGAATGCTTCACTTCCCTGTTAGTACACCAGGACATGCCCAGTTGACCCACATCAGAAATTATGCTGGAGTTGGGATGGTCCCATCTCTCATACTTTCCAGGTTGCGACATTCTTCAAGACAGCCGCTGGCTGCACCGATGTGTTCGCTCGCCAGCGCCCAAGTGGAACTCCTCCAAACTGGATGGGTAAGACGAAGCGGGTATCTTCAAATGGTCTTGGGCTGCTGGATCTGTATATAATATATATATAGATATATCAGAAATACTTGCCGCAGTGTACCCACAAAGCCTTTAACGCTGGCATGTTTGATGTCTCTTTAAAGAACATTGTTTGCGCGGCTGGTGTAAATGTTCTGAAGTATTTCCTGAATACAGCGGCGGCACTGATGTTTAAGGTTCAAGGAACTTTGGTCAAGAAATATAGGGGCTTATTGTGTTTGAGGTATACCCCACAGACCAACTTAGATAACAACAAAATGGACCCTCCCCTACCAGGCATGAGAAAAAGCATATGTATGTTAAACTGACAACGTTTTAAAAGGCATATGTCTTTTAAAAGGCACATGTTTCACTTGGCTCTTGGGGTCTTGAAGGCGAGGTAATCTGACCATAGCAGCACAACAGCCATGGTAAGAGTGGTGAAAACCTCTTGGGGCTTCGTCATGCTGAGCCAACACTGGCGAGGCTTTTTTGGCTCCTGTTGTCACACCACGTGCTGCACTACACTGCAACATCTACTCAGGTAAGGCATGCTTCTTGCGAGTTTCCGCCTGATGTGTTTTCACTCTGGCCAGGCGGTCTCTGCAAGGCAAATCTTTAAGAACATGAAGGAGCCTGGGAACAAGAAGCTATTAGGAACAAGGGCATCGCTTCTAGTAACAAGTGCATCGCTTCTAGTAACAAGTGCCTTACTAGTAGTAACAAGAAGCTATTAATTTAATTCTAATAGCTTTTTGTTACTACTATTAAGGCACTTGTTACTACTAGCGAGGCACTTGCTACTAGTAGTAACAAGAAGCTACGTTCGGAACGGCCTGGGACCTGAAGCTTCAAAAGGACCTCACTCACGTAGCCTGTGACCGAAAGAGGAGGGACCGAGGTGCCTTGTCAAATATGGTTTTCTCCTACAACGCACCAACAACTGTGCACCCAAACTTAACATATTTTTACCCAAATAGTGAGAAAGACTTTCATGAATGTCCAATCATGTCCAATACATTGTTTCCGGGATCATTCTTCTGTGCACATCTTCATTCTTCTGAAACTACTTTTGGAGGGGTCAGTCGAATATCGTAGAGGGATGGAATGACTGAACGCTCTCCCGCTCTCCCGCTCCTGGATAGAGTGCGGAGGGCTGCAAGCGAACAGCTCAGAATAGCAGTGGAAAGGACAAAAACCAGCATCAGACTCATGTTCACGGTCGCAAGTCCTGCAGAGCCGGAGTTTACGAAGTTCGTGTTCATGGGAAGCTCTGCCGGTGGTCAGTGAAATCCTTCACGTGGTGCGAAGAGAAGGAGAGCCAATGGCCAGAAGCAGATTGAAAGCGGCCAAGGCTGGGGATGGCCACAGGCTTCTATTTGGAAAGCCCTTGGGGAATTGCGCTATGAAGAGACCACAATAGGAAGACTCAAGCAATAGCTTTTTGCCTTAAACAAGTTCAGTTCCAAACCAACTCGACATGAGGTTTTATGGATCCTGACCATTGCAAAACACTATGTCACAGCCAACCTCTTCCAAACAACCAACACAATCTTGCTGACCAGTCCAGCAAGGGCCGCAGGCAGGAAGCTGATTTGCACAGCCATAGGGACCAGGATCGCGCCTGACGTCGATAACTCGTTGCTGTGCGACTCCTTGCTGTCAGTCTGGTCACCACTTCATTTGTGTCAGCTATGAGTCGCACGAGGCGCGGCTGGTCATCGGATCTTCCATTGACCACAAGAAAAATGTGATGTACGAGGGTACAGCCAATGTGTTGGGCCAAAACTCTCTGTTCCTTGAACCTGACCGTCGAAAAGTGTAACCAATGTGCCAATGTGGAACAGAGAGTATCCAGAGCTGAGGATCCCTTTTCATCCTGATCTGTGCACAGAGCTGAGGGACGAGACATAGTACGCATAGTACAGTAGTTGTTTTGTACGGAGTGCCAGTGAGCAGGGGCACTCCAGTGAAGCATCAATAGCAGCAGCAGTGGCAGCAACAACAACAACAAGCAGCCATTTAATTTTGGTGACGGCATTGCTGCGACAGCCTTCAGCGCCTCGCTCGTTCCAGCCCAAACAGCTCATCATTAGACATGTCTCGTACAATACCCATGCAAGAACAACACAGTCACGAAGGCATAGCAACAGGCAGCATAGAACATATGCTTGAAAGTACATAGCAACAGGCAGCTGATGCATGACAACACATGTGAGAACAAACAACAAGAACGTTGCAATGCCGTAATTCAACTTCAACTATAGATTGACGATTGAAGCTGTGAACGCTGTAAACTATAGTATACTGTACTGTACTCCTCACAAAGACCTCTGTTATGCTCTAGGTCTGTGCGTCGAAAAGTGCCGGGGCGCCTCCAGTGCCTTTCAGGGCCGCGCCACTGGCACCGCACTGCAGGGAGAACTGGGAGAAGAGTCCACTCACCGAGGCCACCATGCCTCAGAGGCCACACGCGACTGGGCGCTGGCTGCGGAAGGTGGGTGACTGGGGAAATACTGGGGAAATTCGGCCGTGAAACAGATTTAACACCCAGTGGTTAACTGGTTGGTTCACGATATCGCTTTTCCATCCTTTGTATGGCACTATAGAAATCATGCACAGACAAACCGCGAACAACTGCAACATTCTCCACACGTATCTCCTGAGTGAAGGCTCTTGTTATTTCATTGTCTTCTAAAGTTTTATCGTCTTACATGACCTGAGGTGATGAGTGCCAAAAGGATATGCCAAGAACATCCGGAGACATGCCAAAAACAGTTCAGTTTTGCATGCCAAGTGCATCTTCTGGGGTGCCAAGGTGGGATCGTAATTACTGTCTTTACACTCTCCCTGCAGATCATCAGCGTACATCCTTGATCCTGGTCCGGAAAGCCCTGGGTGACGGTCGATTCACATGACCTCACGGTAGTCCGAAAAAAACAGGTCGTCCGACGGTGCGCCACATGTGTGGGCTTTCACTCATGCCTCAACGAGACTTCGGAGCCATGTGGGAAAAACGCCGAAAATATATCAACCCTTCCACCGTCCTCACAAAAAGACTTGGGAGTGGATATGGAAGCAATGGCAATACTCAGAACATCAATGCCTCATGGAGTGCCGGAGGATAAACGTCATGAAACGTTTTGGACAGCTTCCATGATGCACACCTGAGGTATGTTGCTAAACTAAAGTAACAATGTTCGCTACTAGGGGCCCCTGGCCCTGGCATCGCTACTAGGACTAGGAGCAAGGACGCTACTAGGGACTCCTGGCCTTATTACTACTAGGAGCAAGAAGCTACTAGGAGGACATTGTCAAAATTCACCATGGAAAATGTTCCACGACCAATGGACGCAATTCCTGGGAAATTCCTGGGACATAAACTGAGTGGAGAAGTTTGGGCATTTGCACATAGCAGACCTCGGAAAAGGCCGAGATACTCTGCATCAGGCCTGAGCTAATTCCACACAGGCCCACCAGTGAACACAACAAGTAGACAGGCATGTCAATGTCGCAAAACCCAGCCAGCAGAATCAAGAGGGAGAATCCCAGCATATACCTGAACGATGTTGGGAGTGGCACCCCCATCGGCTGCTTTTTTGGAACAGGCCTTGATCCTCGATCTGATCCATACTTTTTGTTTACTCGTCAGTGAGTGGATGCGATCCATTATTACGCAGATCATCTGGCAAATGTTGTAGATTCTATTAGATTCTCAAGAACATTCAAATTGCCCGTTTGTCTCCCGAGAGATCCTGATAGATCCCAAAGTCCAACAAAAATTGGTGGCACCAGTAGCATTGGCCCCAGACAATGCCGGGTTCAAACAATACATACATATTCTGGATTCCCGTCCTATACCTATATAACTACGTCTATATATGTGTTCCTACACCACACATGGAAAGCATGCAAAGCGGATGGTAGGAACGCAATGCATAGTCTCACCAGAAGTGCCATCAAGTGCACCGGAAGCTGTCTCTTCAGGCATAAACATCCCAGCATCGCTAGGAAGAGAGGAAGGCTGAAACATAGAGAAAGCACCGAGAGGACTTGCTTGCCCAAGAATTGTTGAAAGTAGGACACCGACATATAGATGCTGTCCCAGGTAATGGTCGTAGCTGCTCCGAGGACGAAAAAACTGATGTCCGTCTTGGAAGATCTGCCATCCTCGATCAAGCTCATCATGAGCATGTGCGTGCGGAACCGCGCTGGGCCAAGCGAAGAAGGGGGCTGGCAGGGTCTACTTCAAGTGGAGTTGCACCGATGAAGGCTGCTGGTCTGTCAAATGGTGATGGCTGAAGCATGATAAGGCCTTGAAATGTTAGAAGTAATTCCCTGCCAAACGGTAAAATGCGGGCCAATAAACCTATGACATCATATGACTCATAAACTTATAAACTCATGAGAAACATTCCCTGCCAGGACATGAAAACATGAGGAGTTTTTGTCCATTGTCTCACGCTGCAATCATTCCCTGAAGCATGTGCTCGAGCCAAACCGGAAGCCGCACCCGCAGTGTCTCCCAATCAGAATGCAATCCAGTGAACAGGAGGAAATGTAGCGCCCTGTCTGACTGTCAGATGTACTCTATGAGCCAACCAAAGCTTTTACACAGCCAGGACAAAAGTTGGTAACAAACTTGTGAATACATAACCTGCAACCCTTTCCCCTAGAATCCTACAGGGGATCACAGTGAAATGCCGGCGGATTAGTTTCCACCCCGAAATAAACTTATATAGAGTATTATAGTTTGGTTCGGGTGAAAACTAATCTGCCGGAATTCCATTGCAAAGGAGAAGTGATGTGAATGGCATTCTCGAGTGAAGTTGTTCCCAAACTTTCTTCCTCCTGAAGATCTACTCTATGATAAATGAGCAGACCAAAGCTTCTATTTAGCAAAGTCACCTTCTGAAGCAGCTTCAGAGGGGTCGCAAATGATGACTCTCTAAATGATGTTCTCATGTTCCCTCTCCATACTACATCATACTACTACGTACCAAACATCACAATTCGGCATCAGTTCCTAGACCTAGCAAGTTCGGCTCAGACGTTCCTTGGAGCATCAAGGCTCAGACGCGTCTGGGAGGGCGGGAAAGTGTGATTCAACTCGTTCGGTTGCCAAACACAACTCAGAAGCAGTAGTCTTACAGCGTTGATTTGAGTGAGTGGTGAAATTCTACCATGTTGGTCGATGTCGCTCCGACCTCATCACAGCACACAAAGATGTCGCTTGGCCTCATCCCATTGGAGCCTCCAAAGACCACCATGGAGTCCTGTGGTAGCCATGCCCCTTGCTCCTAGTAGTGCCCTCGTTCCTAGTAGTAAGGCCAGGGGCCCCTAGTAGCGTCCGATCGCTCCGTTCGTAGCGATGCCCTTTGTTACTAACCATTGGAACTGGAACAAAAGAGTTGGGCCTGACGATCACCACAGGCACCAACGCACACCCATTTCTTCAACCTCTCTTGGGAAAACCTCAACCCACCACCAGACAGCAAATGTGTCAACTACAAGAGCATTGTCAGACCTCCGTTCATGGGTGTCCTCCACACAGCACGCGCTCTTGTTTAGTTAGTGTTTTTGCTGGTCTTTGCATCTGATGGGTACAGGCAGGAGGTTTGTTGTTCATCTGCTTGGTCAAGTGTAGAAATCCTTTTCCTGGGACTCATAGTTCACCAGCAACCAATGGCTATCTATGGGAACGACGCTGCACAACTTGGGAAAACCATACAACCACACAAAAGCAGTCCTAAGCAGCCCGGTCAATGTTGGTTTCTTCGACCAAGACTGTCCTTCCGTAGCACCGCCGCATGAAAGTCGCGGCCGGGGGGGCAATCCTTGCCATGCACCTGACGGATGTTTCTGAGTTTGTCAAATGCAAATGGTCACCGTTTGTCTAGATCTGATACATTTAAGATGTCCAATAGTTACAATCCAAAACCGATTATTCCGCGAGAGAATTCACGTTTGATCTATTTGAGACTCGAGAGGCCATGATATAGATGATATAGAGACTTTCCTCGTGGCCGGTTTCACATTTCTTCTCACGGGAGCAGTGATACAAAGGCTCCCGAGTGGCCACAAGCCATGGTACCTCTGGAAAAGTCGTTGCAACCCTCACACAAACACACAAACATCGTGTGATTGGCAGGGCTGGGTTGGTCGCATTGCTCAGGGATGAAACTCACCCTCGGACTTGGCCACCAAACCAGGACCCGGCTCCAGATTTTGGTCTCCTGCGGATCAAGATGGGAGCGTAGATTTGGTTTGTACAAATGTGGTTTCTTTTCTTGAAGAATGTAATGATAATAATTGAGCCATACTGAACGAGAACTCATTTGGGGGTTTGCTGCGACAGAGTTGCGATGGACATTCGAAATATTCACTGCTGGGCAACCTTCCCAAGCTCAGAGCTGTTATCACGATCTGCTAAGATGGCTTGCATCAAATATCTGTTTGGTGCGGTTCTGCTTGACTATTGGAGGTCGTCGAATAAAAAGAAATGAGGACATCCAGTCTGCACAAAAGACAAGCTTCAGCATCCAGCCGATTCGCTCGGAATGTTGAGCCAGTTGCTGAGAATATCTCCCGGAAAGTGCGGATGAGGTTGATGCCCAATGAGACTGGAAACAAACTAAAAACTTGCACATTTTATGGGGAAAACACATGTCACTATGATTACTGCATGCGTGTTAGCCATTTCCAGTACAAACCCATGCGACTAATATCTACTAATGGTCCTGTTTGGATTCGCACACCAGAGCATGGCCAAACAAATGAAAACACTGAAAACCACCTAAGTGACCAACAACTCATGTTGTTCGGTTGGAGAAGGACTTCTTCTCCAGTGTCGAGTCACCTGATCCTCCCACTTTTCGTCTCGGTCTCCAGATCCAGTTGCAGCAGGTCATCGTGCCGGACCGTGTCATTGCCACCGTAGAGGTAGATGAAGCCTCGGGTTGTCTCCACCCGTGGTACCGTCCTCCCCCAAAAGGGGAACTGCACTCTGACTCACAAAGATGGACACATGTTCCTTTACAAACAGGTGGAACATGAACATTGGAAACCCATTTACACCGGTTGGGTGGTACATGGCAGTAAGCCCGGGGGTAAGCCGAAGCCATTGGAAGCCACTGGGTCCCTCAACGTGAAAAAGAAAACAATGACCCGCTACTACAGTACAAGCAATAAGTGGAAGGCAAATCAGCTCATTAAACACTTGGGACAAATCCAACAACAGGTGTATGTGTCTACATATATATATATATATACATATAATGTACATGCTACCCCCTGAAAAATCTACCTGTCTTGTCTTTTTTGTGAGCTAATCCTACAGCATTGTAAAAGAAAAATAACTGGTGATTTTGTCCAAGCAACAACTTTAATACTGGCAAGGAAAATCCGTATATATATATATATACATGAAAAGTTAATGTGACTGAAAATAATAGAAAGGCATATTTTCATTAATTCTTATAGGTAAAACACCATGCACATATCTGGTGATGCTGCGCACATATGTACAAATCATATGCATATGATGTGATGTGCATTGCTGATGTGATGTGCATAATATACATGCATGTAACCATAAGCAACCACTGATCTTGGGGGGTACCATACATATATATATATAATACATGTGTGTATGAGCCAATCAAAAGCAGTTTCACAATGTTTCATGAAAGAATGGACATGATATGACATGATATGACATGATTCATGATTCAATGTTTCCTGTGTCCTGCGGAATATGCTCACTTACCAGGTCTTGTCGCATGAACCTATATATTTGGACGATCAATTAAGAACGTGATGGGCTGATTATCTTGACGCGCAGCTCTTTTGGACTGCTGTAGTATTAGGTTGGCTCAACTTGCGCCGAACAAACGCAAAATCCCTATTGCACCGCTCCTGGCCCACCTCAATCACCATATTATATCACCGAAGAGGTGGTATATATATATATATACAGTAAATGATTCTTTGCACACGACCATGCGCTCATCATGTCAACCCTATCCCTTCCTGAGGCGAACGTGGAACGTGGTCGATTCTGCCCGAAAGCAACACCATTTGCAACTCATGATGTACACACGTCCTGACATGGCTTCCCAACCAATCTGTTATATATAAGTTGTCATTAAAGGTCAAAGTTGACCAACAGTTCAATGATTATATCAATTTACAGTAACTGTTTTGTACATTGTCTTGAGAAGCTAGGCTGGATCCTACATTCTTCGGATGGCAACGTCTTCAATTGTCTTCACACTCCATCCCGGGCCCTTCCAACGGCCCCGACCCAACCACCGCTGTTCGGCAGCGGTGCCCGACCCGGGGCACCCGGCCATCCCGGAGCACTGCGCTGTGTGCGTAGCGGCCATCCGAGAGATCAGTGCCTTCCCAGCTTAGGCACCAAGATCTCTGGGACAAACAAACAAACAACCGAGATCTTGGCACGAACATGCGCGAACCCCCCAAAAAAGTGCGAAAACGAGTCCGACGCGCACGCTGCTTTTGGTTTGCAGGTTCACGATCTTTTCGCTCTCTTGGTGCTGACAACGGGACCTGAACATCTCCAAGTGCACGGCGCGTGCGACCAAGTGCTCTGAGACTCCGACCGCTGCAAAGAACTCTTCTCCAGACCTGGCCATTGACCAATCGATCTTCCGCTCAGAAAAGGTCACACAGCATCCAAACCAAGAGAAGTCTGCGCCAAGCTCTTTGGAGGTCAAGAGGAAGCTGCAACCATTGCCAGTGCTGCGTTTGTGCCGAAATGGAACGTCCACACGTCGCCATATCGATTGATGCCTGGCCCCGCAGGCGCGAGACAGGGGAAACATATCCAGATCTTACTTCACGTATTTTAATTTATGGATGAATGATGTAAAACACACAATAACAACATCAATATCTAAAACAGATTGTTATATAGCCTTGTCCGGAAATGTTCCACATGCTAAAGACTAACAAAGCCACTGTGTTGATGATCTTTCAAAAAACTCATGTAGATCTATGTGGGTAGACTTAGAGCAAGTAGCTACAGCCTATCGAAGTAGTAGGGAATTCACATGAGTACCTGCATGTATGGCAGGAATTGCTGACACGCCCTATACATCCATTCTGGGGCCTTCTGTGCATGGTCATCCCTCATCCTCAATGCTCTCTTGAGCCCTATCAGAACGCTCAGAAGATCTCCGAAGTGCCGAAGTTGGCACCCGGAAAGGCTGCTCATCTCTTGAATCAAAGTCAAGGAATGGATTGTCAAGTAGTTCAACTGCTTAGCCATGTCAAGTATTCAGCGATACGTACAACACGACTGCTGGCATGTATCCATGAGAACAATATTGGCATCAAGCCCTCGCAAAATGGGAGAACACAACAATAGCCCCCATCCCATCAGTTTCCCAGCTTTGCCTTTCAGCCAAAAGAAAGGCAAAGCTTTGATCCTACAATCGCACATGCAGAGGAAAAAAACACGCAGCCTGAACCGCCCACGATGTACATCAAATCGTCCTTCACCATCGCTTGATGCCTATACCTGGCAGCATCTAAACTATAGCTGACCCTAAGAAGATTTGAGGACGCGAAGACATGCTGGTGCATTGTGTACATCAACTACTTGAGGCATCCGAAATGGACAAGAATTCTCAGTACCCCAAAAGTGAAACTAAACAACTAAACCAGAAAACACTGCCATTCATACTATGAGCAACCACCAGTCATGAGCAGTGCTTTTCCACCAGAGTGGGGGGCCATCTTTGGAACTTGAGACTTGATGCAATCAGAGACTGGTCTATTTTGTCATGAAGACTTCTGAAGACTTGTGAAAAAATGCTGCATGAAACGCATGAAACAGAAGTGACACGAGTGGCCCCGAGCTGAGCCTGCCGTCGGATTACGAAAATCAAATCCCTAACATTCCACTGAGGTTGATATTGTGAGTGTGCTCAGTAGTCACCTGCTCAAAAGTGACAGTAAGTAGAGCCTCTTCAAATACTAGTCAAGCTGGGAACTACGTGCATAATACTTTACATTAGAGGTACTGTATTCTAGCACGGTATGCCACTGTAATATGGACACTACTATGAGCTGGAAAATCTGTTTACCGCCGTCGGTCTACCCTTCTAAACATCTCCCATTGGTCTTTCCTGATTCAACACGCCAAAGCAGCCAAACAGGATGGATATGCAGTACAGCGTAGTCCCATTTCAAAACACAACAGTCAACCAGAGTGTTTCAAGCGGGTTCGCACATCTCGTGTGAGCGATAACTTGTGAAAGATTATATAATATACTGGCGGCAAGATTAACCCCCAAACTATGAAAATTATTTAAGTTAGCATTCTTTATCCACTACCTACGTATATAATTGTTTCTTCCAAAAAAAGGGTTGGGTGAGTGTATGTCATGGCATTACGGCACCAACAAAGGCCGTCTCACCCTGGCACTCCCAAACCCCGCTCACGGACCTACCACAAGGGCAATCACCGCTGGTGACAAGGTACTCCCACCTCGGGTTATGAGCCCATCGGTTCTCCTGCAAAACACACTGCATAAAAATATATGTCTTTTCTTGTCTCCTTTCGTGGATGAGTTCACCATCACCACCACCAAAACAACAACAGCAACAACAACAACAACCTCCTCCTCTTCCTCTTCTGTACTCTCAGGGATTCTCTAACACGCGTCATCTAGTTAGTGATACAGGCAGTCAGTCAGTCAGTCGGCCGGCCGGTCGGTCGGTCGGTCGGTCGGTCGGTCGGTCGGTCAGTCAGTCAGTCAGTAGCTGATCAACTGGTGCATACTATCAAAGGATTTTGAAAGGTAGATTCTTCACGAAGGAGACCCTGAGCAGTGTACGCCTGGTATGTACTGATCAGATCTACCGAGAACTATATAGTACCCTTTTCCCATGGGTTTTGGGGGTACCCCATAATTATTCAAGACCCCATATTCAAGTCATGTGTAATCACCAACAAATTTGCAATCATTCGGTTTGGCACGCACTCCAAAATTCACAAATGCATGAGCTATGCATAACTCTGCACATTTTGCAACCTCCCAAGCACTGCCCGATTCAATCCTGAACTTGCGAAGAACATCAATCCTAAGAATCCTTGAAAAAACATGACTGTTGAATCTGCCGGTCTTTCCTTTTGCTGTGACCTGACACAATTCTTTGCAAGTTCAACAAGGTTGGCAGGTAATTAAAAGAAACCCAGTCACTTTGTTGACGCAAAACAATTGCGGGTCCCCCGGCTGCTTTGTGCAAAGATCGAATCGATACATGTCCTGACTGATTCTCTGAGTCGACAGGGGAGTCCTGGGCCTGGTTTGGTTCCAGACCGGCTCACATTCCAATGAGGCAAGTGGGAGTAGAATATTCCATTCCAATATGCACAAAAGCAGAACTGTGCGTTCTTTTTTTAGATTACGTTAGAATCAACGGATGTAATTATTTATATGTTGGTCTTGGGTTGCACCGCCCGAGACTGAGAGACCTTCGGAAGAACAAGCCTGTACAGGTGCTGCATCTTGTAAACCCCGAAACAACGCCAACTATCTTAGGGTAACTCCCTACCGAGGATACCGGCCGAATATCCCAAGATGTCCAAGCCAATATTCCATGTTGGTCAGCAACCACCCACAAACTTACCCCTGCAATTATATTATTTTTCTAATTGATGATAGTAGCAGAACCATTCCATTTCAATTAATTCAATGTTTTCGACACCAATGGCTCCGTGGGATAGTTGGTGCCGTGCGTGCCGCCCCAAACGTAGAGACCTGGCGTGTCTGCGGGCAGGTCATGGCGCCGTGGCCGTGCCTCAACCTGGTGAGCCTTTTTGGAGGGCTCTGGCAAGCGCAAAATGGAAGCGCTTTTGGACGCAGGGAGGGGTGAAGCGAGTATGCTTGACGTGCGAAATGCATCAAATGCACATAAACTTTATATAAAAAAATGTGCGTATGATATCGGGGTACCATCAGTCTTGGATATGTCACACCCAGTTAGGTTTTGATCCACACCCATACGCTCGTACACATGTATAATTGTATAATCTTGGTCACAAACGACCAGGTCATTTGCTGTTGGTCATGATTGATCAATGATCAAACGCAAAGAATCCTGTATTGACTACTCTACGGACGGCTCAATGCTTCTTCTGCAGCGGCTCGGCAGCGCGTTTTCTTTCGATGCTGAAGGCTTAGCTCCATGGTGCCCGCAGACGTCCGGCTTCCACTGTTGGTTTGCTCACACCAGAATGAAAAAAAAGATGGAACGGGAGCAGAGCTACTTGTAACAAAGGGCATCGCTACTAGTAGCTCCTGGCATCGCTATTAACAGGAAGAAGCTACTAGTAACAAAGGGAGGTGAGAGGTCGGTGCTCCTCTCACCCTGGCGGTGAAAACATGGAACTGGAAGGGGCGGGAAACCAGTGCTACGGGGTTTTGATCTACACCCAGCGAAGTGCTGTAATCATCTGGAAACACAGTTGCAATATCGTTGTTTCGTTGCTCTCTAGATGGCCACAATTCGTTGCTTCTTAGCCGCAATCAGCTTACTGGATCCCTTAGGTCTTTACATGTCTTTACCTACATCAAAATGTCGGACAAAACTAAGGCGTGTTTACACAACAGCGACTTTCCTCAACTGCGGAGTCTGTCATGAAGGTACCCTCCAGGAAGGTCTCGACTTGAGGAAGGTGTCAGCTCAATGCCAAACCCCTGAAATGGTATGTTGATTCATCCACATGCATGAAATAGGTTGCTTCCTATTTGTTCTAGATGAGGGTGACTTCGCTGAACGGCCCTGAGGCGCCCTGTGTCTATGCCTTCAGCTGTCGGATGCCTGCGACATGAAAATCATGGCACTGTGCCCTGTTCAGTCTGGCACCAACGCAGTGAGCTCTGCTCAGGCGCAGTTCAAGCTGGAAACAAGCCCACGAGGGTGTCTTGCTATCTGCTGCTGCCGCTGCTACCTAGATATGCACTAAAACTTAAGTTGTCCAAGACAAGCGGCTCATTGGAAGAATTTCAGGAAATTGTCAAATGCCCGACGCTGCTGTCTTCATGAAACAACTTCAGTTTCGGTCCCCATCTTTGAACTCGTTTCTTGCTCCTGATAGGGCCCCTTTCCCAGTGCTTAGGCATACGATGTCCACTTGGCAAAATTGGGAAGCCGACAGCTGAAGAGCGTGATCTTGGAAACAAGGTTGTGAACTCCCAGCACAGGTTGTTGGCGCCAGAACCGTGTGCATATCTTCAAACATGCTACTCTTAGTCCAGCCGTCATATAAGCTGCTATGCCAGCTATGCAATATATGGCTAGCCACTTAGTCAGGTGTCTCTATTCTATTATACAGGGGGGGATGTCTAGACAAACATAACATGCCAGGCCGCTATTCCCCTTCACTTCCTATTCCGTGAGGTACGGTGGGTGGATCCAAACAAGCCTACACTTGTGTTGCCTTCCGCCGAAGGATGAGACCTGATCTAGTGCAGCATACCTCGTCGGTCTTTCGTTCAGCTCGAATAATCAGACCAATCATCTGAATGGACGGCGCGAATTTGCATCAGGATAGCCTGTGCAGACTTGGGAAGTCACCAGAGTTTGGTACCAAGAGCCCTCAGACGAAGGTTGCTTCACAATCTCTATATAGATATGCGATATGTGCATCCAACGAATCTCTTTCTGACACGTTATAAATTTGCTGCACAACCGGTGCCAATCAACCTGGTCTACCAGGGGGAGATATCTGGCAAAGCATGTGTGGTAAATTTAGTAAGTTGTTTGCTTATGCCGCCTGGCCCTTGGTCTGGGAAGGTTATTTAAGCATCGGGCAAAAGAACGCATATGCTGCTACCAGGACCTGCGGTCGAATTTTGACCAATTGATGCGCAAAATACATGGAGTTGACATGAAGAGAAAAATATGTGTTTCATTTCCAAGATCTTCCAAGATTCTGATGTTGGTTTTGCACATTTGTGGTCGTAAACCAGGTACAGTAGACTGTGTAGAAGAACAGGAGGTCCCTGAGTTATTGACACCGATTAATGTGAAGTGCCCATGGTGGTTCCAAAGCAGAATGGCACCTGCCCTTGTCTAGAGTATTTCTTACATCTCTATAAATATGGCGATCGTCCACAAAAGCTTTAGAGGAGGCGCACGTTTCCATCCATTTTGGTGTCACTCTTATGTATACACAATATAGATGCTCTCTACAAACACACTCGTATCAGCACACAGACCCTCCACCCGGAACAGTGTCTGATTGTACAATAAGTGTTGACGGCGTCACAACTCCAATTTACAAAGTAACAAACATGTTACAGTAGTTACATGTTTGACAAGTGTTTCGGTTCCAAACATGGTGAAATCTACCAAGTCGTTCAAACATGCGAGGTTTGCCCAAACTGTTGGCATTCTGGTTCACAATCTTGAGGCTGAGGCGCCACACTGGCCGAACGAACTCGCACCCCGCGGGGGCTCGGCTCTGTTCGTTCAGATCAAACCACCTGAGCCGGCAGCTGAATACTTGGAATAAGGTTTTGAGGTCCGCACAAGTCCAAACAGCGCTCCGAAACATTAACTGCACTAAATTTCTTGGATATTCCTCCTCTCTGGCTGAGCCAAAGCCGTCGATGATAATGAGTCTGCCCAGTGGCAATCTGACCCACCGTGCTGGGGAGTTGATTCTCCAGGGATGCCGGTGGGCACACCTGCGAACCCGAACAAATTGCAGGGTTGCTCGTGACTGAAGTATGGGTGAAGGATCAAAAAAAGGCACCAAACAAATATTCGGCGGGGATCAAAAAAAGAAAGGAAGGAAGGAAGAAAGAAAAAAAAAACAAGATGGAGCCCACGAACCCGAATGCAAACACGTTCGAAAAGCTACATATGTGCAAATGACACTCTTGTGGGACACTCTTCTGGGACACTCTTGTGGGTCACTCTTACACGACACTCTTGTAGGACACTCCTTGTGGGACACTCTTATAGGACACTCTTGTGGGTCACTCTTATGGGACACTCTTGTCCGACATTCTTGTGGGACACTCTTGTGAGACACTCTTGTAGGACACTCTTCTTGGACGCTCTTGTGGGTCACTCTAACACGACACTCTTGTAGGACACTCCTTGTGGGACACTCTTGTAGGACACTCTTGTGGGTCACTCTTATGGGACACTCTTGTCGGACATTCTTGTGGGACACTCCTTTGAGACACTCTTGTAGGACACTCTTGTGGGTCACTCTTACAGGACACTCTTGTGGGACACTCTTGTGTGACACTCTTATAGGACACTCTTGTGAGACACTCTTGCGCGACACTCTTGTGGGACACTCTTCTGGGACACTCTTGTGGGTCACTCTTACACGACACTCTTGTAGGACACTCCTTGTGGGACACTCTTATAGGACACTCTTGTGGGACACTCTTGTAGGAAACTCTTGTGGGATACTCTTGTAGGCCACTCTTGTGAGACACTCTTGTAGAACTCTCTTGTGGGACACTCGTGTAGGGCACTCTTGTGGGACACTCTTGTGGGACACTTGCGGGACACTCTTGTGGGACACTCATACGGGACACTCTTGTGGGACACTCTATCTGGGACACTCTATCTGGGACACTCTTGTGGGTACACTCTTGTGGGACACTTGCGGGACACTCTTGTGGGACACTCATACGGGACACTCTTGTGGGACACTCTATCTGGGACACTCT